TTGGGGGCACAAGGGAAAATATTCCTGCAAGTAGATTTATCATGCATTCCCAGGTATTTTTTTCAGTTGCACATTAATAACGACCATTATTTAATTTCAAAAGTGAATCGTAATATTGCCATTCAGCCACCTTCAGTCATCAGGTGTCTCTAGTGATTAGTTACAGCCTGACCAATCATTTCAGCTTTTAAGTCAGTTTCTCGTTCATTTTGTCATAATCATGCTCTTCAAAATTGCGGTTTTGCTGAAAAAACCCAAATCATTCGACACATCTGCCCATGACATAGCAACTTGATTTGATTGACTCTGGGGTGGTTGGAGGGTTATTGTTAAAAATGAACATTTTTCCTGCTTTAACTAACCAAAAAAGAAACAGTAGAATACACTGAAACCACTGCGTGAGCAACAGCTACTGCTCAATTTGGTTATCACCGAAAATGATCCGTAAAATGTCATGAAACCTTCCTTTATCTACGTCGCCAATTGTCTTCGGAGTGTGGAAATTCTACGATGATTTGCAGTCACTTGGCAAATGACGCTTTCTCTAAATTCCAGAAACGATGCAGACAATATAATCAGTGAGGATGCCTTCGGATGTGGATTGGCTAATGGGCTGTACATGTACGAGTACTTTACAGCTCCATGAACCAACACTTTTGCAATGAGCACGCTTTTTGCTCCACTGTATTTGTTCTGCAATCACCTCTTCGCTGAGTCATTTTCCCCAAACACCTCTATTGTTCCGGCGCCACGATATGTCACTGCATGATATAGTAGTTCGGTATAAAAAAAACAAGTGCTTTATTTCGGCAATACACGGCACAATGGGTTACGTCTTTGATCGCATCCATGGTCACCAGTTGATGCGATAAACATGCCCCCCCTCCCCTCGTCACACATCGTCACAAATGTCTGACCCCCCCCCCCCCCCCCCCCCCAGGTGCATGACTCATTTATGTACGGCCTCTTTATCTCGGCAATACACGGCACAATGGGCCACGTCTTTTATCGCATCCATGGTCACCAGTGGATGCGATAAACATGCCCCCCCCCCCAAAAAAAAAACCTCCTTCAGTGTCTACGGCTATAGGAGCACGGCTGCAGTTTTGGCAGGCTCAGCTTTCCCATTGTTTGATGGATGTGCCATTGCCACAGGAGCTATCTCTTTTAAGGCATCGTTCAGAGGCTTCGCCCCACTTTTTGCGGTACTACTACCGAGCCGAGAGCCGTGCTATAGGATATGAAAATACAACGTATGCAAATCACAGATGGTAACAACGCTAACATTGTTCCGCCCATGGTGTACACTGCCCACGTGATGGTGGAGTGTGCCATCTCAGGTAGTGGTACCAACTGACCCACTTGGCTCATGAGCTGTCTCGAAGGAAATGCCAATGCCAGGAGACCAGTACTCTGCAGGGCGACACAATATATCACAGTACTACCTCCGGTGCGCTGCTGTCATTTAACCACAGATGGTGGAATTTCATGCTGTTTACAAAGCATTACTGGTATGTGCCTGAACCATAAATAGCATCTGCCAGACTTTGAAACCTATCAAATGAAATGTCGTGCATGCTCTGGTAAGCAGGTTGGGCCCGTTGACTTATTTGCAGTTCGGTGTTACCACCGAAACTAGTTTGGTAACTGGCTAAATGGGATTTTTTTTCCATGCAACAAATACAGTGCATTGAATTGAAACGGCAGAAAAAGTTTGGAAGACGTACGATGGATAGCTACCCCGAAGAGGTGGGAGTAACGAATACAGAAGACCGACACGGATTTTTTTATTTGCTCTAACGTTTCAATTTGTGCTCCTATTAATGTCATTCTTTCACCAGAGTAATCTTTAAATCATAGAGGATATGAAAACCCCCCCATCAAAATACATATTGTCTTGGCATTTTGTTATGTAAAAACGCAGATTACTTTGAGTGCTCCGAGTACAGGATTGTGACAAGAGTATGAATATTACATACGTTTCTAAGTAATAATAACAATGTACAGCTCTGTTAATCGCAGCTATGGATGAAGCCCATCCCATTTTGTGTCGATCACGGAAGATGATTTGACCATACTTCACAATGCTGGTCAGTGCAGGTTGATGAAATGGTGGGTGGCCAAGACTGTTTGGTATATCGCTCCACCACTCATGTTAGTTGTGGCAGGGAATCAAACTCAGGTTTTCTGGATTCATAGTGCAACTTTCAAACCTATGTGCCACTTCTTCACCCTTTAAACCATTAGACTTCATCCAGCAGCAGATTAACAGAGTTGTAAAGTATTATTATTTAAACTAAACAATTTTATTTTATTTTACCAGGTAAGGCCTACTAGGCTATGTAGCTCTTTTTCAGAAGCGACCTGGCCACAAATGATTGCTGAAATTATTGGCTTGGCTTATTGTGTGGAAATATTTTGCTGCCAAATACTCTAAACGCAAGTTAATTATAATTCTAACATGCGTTTAACATGCGTTTAGAGGACGCGACCACGGGGAGAACACGGAAACTCCAAATGTACAGGCGTCAGGGTCGGGATCGAACTCACAACCTCCTGTATACTAGGCGAGGTATTTAACATCTTGCCACCGTGGCGCCACTTGTATTATAATTAATGTATTTATGTTGAACTTTCACACCGTACGTACACCAACCGTGCTAATTGGAGGTGCGGGACGTGATTATTATTATCTGAGAATAAACGAAATTGTAATAAGTTAATCGGCTAAACATGCAAATCACATCCAAGGATTTCCGTGCTGTCAACTCAGTGCTCTAACATGGGAATTATCCCTCGGAGATAACGAGCCACCTCCAAATTCTTTGTTATTTATGTGACTTTCACACTTTTCTGGACGACTGGAATTAATCAGTGTGCCCAGATGTTCCATTCAACACACATGGTTATAAAATATGGTTATACTATTAATTGATATAGATTTCACATCAACAAATTAGCACCACGCTTTTACATAGCTAATCTACGACGTAACAAGACAAGCCAAAACGGCCTGAACATAAATATTGTTTCGACATGTGTAGTGTAGCACAAGTTGGAGACGAGTTAGTTGCAGGAGGCACCTTTTTTTTTGACACTCTTCGGTTCACAATTTCCTTCCGATGTCGTATACCCTAGCCTAGACGCAACCTTGATCGTGTTACACTGACGGCGTCGACTGAGATAGCCAATAACTATCTGGCCGCTGAATGATCTAGTGAAGACGGCAGCGACGAAGGTGGCGACGATGACAGCGACGACGAGACGAGTCCACTCCCAGAACCGGCAGCCCGGAGCTCTCGCTCTTCGCTGCTTTTATTCCACTCGGTGCGGCCTGGCTCCACCCTGGCTCCGCCCTGGCCACGCCTCCCTTCTCGAACCCACTAGCAGGTTCCAGGGACTTCCCGATGAGGTCTTCCGTGACCCTTGCCCCAGTTCCTCCGCCCTGCCGGCACACACACCGTGTATATGCTCGACGGCGTGAGTGCGCTAACTGTCCACCACAGTTGCCGCTGCTGGACATCAGTTGGCGCTTTGTCACTACACATGCATAACAAAAAAAAACAAAGAAATTTAGCCAACAAAGTCTGTCAAGGCAAGTGCCATTAGCACCTATAGAGGCCGGCATAGTTCACAAGGGGGTAGTATGGCCAACACCACGTCCGGCCGCTTTTGTCCCCCTAGTGGCAATGTTTACACATCGCACCAGGTACTCATTTGAGGCTGAGTCAATCTAAGGGAGGCCCAGGACTGGTTCAGATAATCCCTAACACTGGTGTTGGCCGTGAGCGAGAATCGAACTCGGACCACCGGGTTCGTAGCACAATGCGCTTACTGCTCCACCACCGCTCCCACACACACGCACACGTGCGCTGGCGGTGTTGGGTTTTCACTACGGCAACAGCCACGTGGCCTTTGTGATTGATGCGCATCGGATGCCCGGTCGCATTGTGCGGCGTTCTTTGAAAATGTTAATGACACGACTATTTACAGGATTTTCACCGCAAAAAGTTTTGTAAATAAAATGGATTAACATTTTTCTTTCATGAAATCCCCACTTGGAACTATTGCTTTGCAATGGAGTTTCGGTCCCGAATAGGACTTTGTATCTTTGACTTTACACAAAACTCCATAACAGGACAATGCATCTCGTACAACAGAAGTGCATCATTATTCCTATACATTTTTTTACTTATCTACAGCTTTGTTCCCTCGATTCACTCCTCTCTATGTCCCTATTAGACTCCATCATAGGGCTTGCTAGCACCTGCACCTAACTTTTTCCCATCACCTCTTGCTCTCACACTATTTTAGAGCTTTCTTTTTCGATTTTGCGTGCGTTTCCTTTTACGACCGTTAAATACCTCGTTTTTTCGCTGTGAAAATCTTTCTTAAGGACCCTGTACTCATTCTCTGCAGTATTGATTTTTTTGTTTATTGCTGCTGCTGCTCCACACACCGCTGATCTCATTTTGTAAAATATCCGGGAAACTGGCTAAACGGGACCGCCCGTGAACTCAAATATTCCAAACCAGGAACGTTGCTCTCACTTGGTACCGTTATGCAGCCATAATTTAGGGCCACTCGACAGCACTTCCATCGAGATCTTCAGATGAGCGATTTTTTGAGTGCCTCTCTATCCAGGATGAGTCTTCGCACTCGGAGCTCATCAGATTAAGTGTAAAACCCACATGTTCTGTAAATTGCTTCGCTTGTGCAAACACATTAGCATGTCAATTTGTAGGAGTCTCACGTGACAGCCCAAAATTAAAAACCGAACAGCGCAGCGACAATGACCCACAACTTATGACGGCATTAGATCCATCCGTGCGCCACCCAGCCACCTTTCACATTTTACTTTCTCAGCTTTGCAACTGTATTGCATACAACTGTTTAATCCTGCGACCATGTATCCCTTGTTCCCGTCGCTCCCTCATGCAATGCCGCACAAACTCATCCGCGCTCCCCCACCCCAAACTTTTCCGCCACCTTCCCCGCAGTTCGTGCTGGGCTTCGCGCTGCCGCTCCTCGTCATCTCGGCCGCCTACTGGCGAATCCTGCAGCGCCTGCACTCGGCCATCGTCCCTGCGGGCCACAACCGCGGCGTGCGTGCCCGCACGCGCAAGGTCACCTGCTTCGCCATCGCCATCTGCCTCGTCTTCTTCGTGTGCTGGGCGCCCTTCTACGCCCTGCAGCTGCTGCAGCTGCAGGGTTCCTCGGCGCCGAGTGGCTCGGACGCGTTCCTGCGCGCCTACAACGTGGCCATCAGCTTGTGCTACGCCAACAGCTGCCTCAACCCCTTCGTCTACATGGCCATGTGCGCTGCCTTCCGCCGCCGCGTAGCTGCCGCCGCGTGCTCGTGCCGCCGCAGGGCCCGCGGCGGCGGCGGCGGCGCCGGCTCCAACGGCGTCGGAGCCGGCGCCGGGCGGGGCGCGAGGGTCGAGCGCCGGCAGGGGGGCGGCGAGTTGGAGCGCGAGCCCGACAGGGAGATGGAGAGCCTGCCCAAGGCGGCGAGCGAGCGGCCGCTGGGGTCGGAGCGCACCGAGGGCCGGCGCGGCTCCTCGTGCGCGGGGGGTGGCGGAGGAGGGGGACGCGGCGCGCGCGGCGGCGGCGGCGGCGAGGAAGGGGAGGGGGGAGAGTCGACGCTGCGGCTGGAGAGCGTGACGGACGAGGCGCGCTGGGCGGGCGCGCGCGAGCAGAGCTCCGGCCCCTGCTGCCACTGCCCCCTGTCCTTAGAGGTGCGGGCGAGCACCGGCGCCCGGGGTGGCGCGTTGTGAGCGGCGCCTCCGCCGCCGCCGCCGCTGGCGGCGAGGAGGATTGACGCGCTTGCGGGTGAGCCGGCGGAGCGGCATGACAATAGGGACTTGGAGGATGCACGGTCGCCAAGGCAACGACTGGTGTCCCGGCCGGCTCGTGCAGGTGTTGATGTTACGGGGCCTTCAGGAAGCGACGCTGTAGCCTCCCTATATTCTGCCTAAAATAATGCATGCACAACTTCAATGTATAGCTTACAAACCACGAGAAGAAAGTTTGGTGGGCGGGCTTTAATTACGTGAGAATAATTTTCATTCAGAGCGAGAATAAAAAAAAACGTGACGGCGATCGTTTGAGAACACCCATATTGAAAACGCGTTCGAGTAAATCAAAATGCTCACAAATGCCCTGTTGTCTTTTGCGAGCAATAATTTCGACGTATATATTATTTTCGGGAATGTGTCTCGTGAAGACACACACCCCCAACTGGTCCGCCATGACGGAGCGTTCTTTCGTGCTACCGGACACCACAGCAAAGCAATTTATTTTGATCTATCAGAAATTGTGACGCTGAGTTAGGCAGTAGTGCACAAGCACATTTAACAAAACAAAAAAAATTGAAGACCTTCATAAGTTTGAAGTGAGGACCAGGATCGCTCCTGATATCACTTGCCACCAATGTCAGCCGTGGCCAAGAATCAAACTTGGGTTGCAGTGAGTTCATGGTGGGTTCATAGCACAGCACACTGATCACTCTACTACTACCACGTCTACCCAGCTGAAAAGGAAGACTAAGTATATCTAGCCTATAAAACGCATTTTTTGTCCGTCTGTCTGTTTGCGCACGCGCGCTTGCTAGGGATTTGGCTCTCAAACGGTGGGGTTTACATTAAAAAAAATTGCCAGCTACCATGCCATAAGCCCCGCAGTGGGCAAGCGCTATTCCGTTTTCCTGTCCGTTACCTTCATGTAGTGTTCGATTTCACTCGGACAACTTCTCTCTCCGAACACCGCTTTATTTACAACTCTCAGCATGTCCTCCACATTCCACAGTATCCTGGTCGCCACGGTTCGCTCGCCGTGCTTCACTCCACTCGCTCGCCACCTTTGTCTCTCCACTCCTCACCATTACTTCGCTAACTCCGCAACTCAGCAACTCCGCACTCAGCAACTCCAGCTCCGCTATCGCTACGCTCTCTCCACTGCCAACTACTTCTCTTCAGCTCCGCTATCGTTACGCTCTCTCTACTGCTAGCTGCTTCTCTTCTTCAGCTTCGCTCCACACTCTGTTTCCAAACTCCGTCTCCAATTCTGTCTCCAAACTCTGTCCCCCACTCTCCTCCAAACTCCACGTCTTGCCTCGTCCAGCTCCCAACCAACTCCCGCTCCAATTGCCGACCCCCCAATTTATCCCCGCTCTCATTACGCCTCAATTAGTCCGCGTCCCAACGGCACCCCGCGTGATCCGTACACGTGCTTCTCGCCAGACTTCCAGACGCCTCTCCAGCCCCGGCAACAGCCCCAACCAATCACAGCCGTCCTTGGCTCTCCCAGCTTAATTGCCCCGACGTAACCTGCACTGTATTTGCCTTCGTTACAGGCTGACCCAACATGAACCCCAATGACTTTGCCTTCACAACAGGCTGACCCAACATAACCTGCACCGTCTCTGTTTCCATGCAATACGCACCTTTCTACTCCACTACATCTACATTAGTTAAATATCGGTTTTTTTTTGCGATGTCTCTTTATTTAAACATTCGTTTTGGAATGATTTATTTCTTTCTTTTCACCGCTCGGGGAATGCCAATGCAGCAGGCTGCACTTGCGCACAACGCCCACTCGGGTAGCCCCTAGCAATCCACAAGCGCTATCGCTGCAGGTAGCAACGCACACACGATCGGCACACATTTTCAGTCACGTTACACATGCAGCAAAAGCACACAAAACACTTCCGTTATTTCTTCACAGTGCGATGTCCTCTTCTCCCCACCCCACCCCACCGCGTCCTCAAACTACTATAGAGCCCCTAGATATTCTTATTATAGCGCTTAAAGTGTATTATTGTAGCGCGGACGGGGGAGAGCGGCCCAGCCCCCAGCCTGCCAAGGTCACACCTCGCCCGGCTGGGATATCGAGGTCCGGCCGAGGGCTCTGCAAGAGACGAGGCTTCACCCACGCCAATGTTGGGCACAATATCCTTTTCTTTCTTCCATAACCTCGCCTTGATAGCGACCCCGTTTTTTTTTCTAATAACCTTCCGAATATTACATTCCCTACGTTTGTGTGCGGACAACATTTTTTTTGTTTGACTGCTCACAACTTCATTTTTAGAAATTCACTTGGTCGTTTATTTTTAATTTGCCAACTCACCTTCATGGAAACATACGCTTTCTATCACCATCTTGCAAATATTACATTAATACTGTTTGTGTGCAGACAACTGACATTTCTATTCCTCGCTTCTTTCACTAAACTCACGTACATTGCAACCTATGATTACAATGATCATCTTCCAAACATTACATTACGAAAGTTTGCGTGCAGAAAAATATTATTTCTCCTCCTCGCTTCTTTTGCTAAACTCGCATACATAGAAACCTGCTAATTTCATATTCAGCTTGATAATATTACAATGTTTGTTTCAGTTTGGGCGCATATATTGCTTACTTACCTTGCCCATTGTTGAGATTTATTTCAGTGCAAAACTAGGTGCACATGAATCTCTACATACTCACCTTCCTTTTATTATATTTGTAGTGCCTTGGATTCACTCGGACGACAATCGCCTTTCTTCCACTGTCTCTTTTATTTCCATCGTTCCGCACACACTATAAATTCTCCTCTCCACGCTCCGCCAACTCGAACACTCGAATTCCCCTCAGCACCGTCCGCTCATACTCCTTGTCTCCACACACAGTCTCTTCTTCACTCCCCACACACACAGTGGTTCTATCTTTATCTCCTCACACACAGCGACCTGTCAATCTCTTCACACGCAGCGACCTGTCTATCTCTTCACACGCAGCGACCTGTCTATCTCTTCACACGCAGCGACCTGTCTATCTCTTCACACGCAGCGACCTGTCTATCTCTTCACACGCAGCGACCTGTCTATCTCTTCACACGCAGCGACCTGTCTATCTCTTCACACGCAGCGACCTGTCTATCTCTTCACACGCAGCGACCTGTCTATCTCTTCACACGCAGCGACCTGTCTATCTCTTCACACGCAGCGACCTGTCTATCTCTTCACACGCAGCGACCTGTCTATCTCTTCACACGCAGCGACCTGTCTATCTCTTCACACGCAGCGACCTGTCTATCTCTTCACACGCAGCGACCTGTCTATCTCTTCACACGCAGCGACCTGTCTATCTCTTCACACGCAGCGACCTGTCTATCTCTTCACACGCAGCGACCTGTCTATCTCCTCACACGCAGCGACCTGTCTATCTCCTCACACGCAGCGACCTGTCTATCTCTTCACACGCAGCGACCTGTCTATCTCCTCACACGCAGTGACCTGTCTATCTCCTCACACGCAGTGACCTGTCTATCTCCTCACACGCAGTGACCTGTCTATCTCTTCACACGCAGTGACCTGTCTATCTCTTCACACGCAGTGACCTGTCTATCTCTTCACACGCAGTGACCTGTCTATCTCCTCACACGCAGTGACCTGTCTATCTCCTCACACGCAGTGACATGTCTATCTCCTCACACGCAGTGACCTGTCTATCTCCTCACACGCAGTGACCTGTCTATCTCCTCACACGCAGTGACCTGTCTATCTCCTCACACGCAGTGACCTGTCCATCTCCTCACACGCAGTGACCTGTCCATCTCCTCACACGCAGTGACCTGTCCATCTCCTCACACGCAGTGACCTGTCCATCTCCTCACACGCAGTGACCTGTCCATCTCCTCACACGCAGTGACCTGTCCATCTCCTCACACGCAGTGACCTGTCCATCTCCTCACACGCAGTGACCTGTCCATCTCCTCACACGCAGTGACCTGTCCATCTCCTCACACGCAGTGACCTGTCCATCTCCTCACACGCAGTGACCTGTCCATCTCCTCACACGCAGTGACCTGTCCATCTCCTCACACGCAGTGACCTGTCCATCTCCTCACACGCAGTGACCTGTCCATCTCCTCACACGCAGTGACCTGTCCATCTCCTCACACGCAGTGACCTGTCCATCTCCTCACACGCAGTGACCTGTCCATCTCCTCACACGCAGTGACCTGTCCATCTCCTCACACACAGTGACCTGTCCATCTCCTCACACACAGTGACCTGTCCATCTCCTCACACACAGTGACCTGTCCATCTCCTCACACACAGTGACCTGTCTATCTCCTCACACACAGTGACCTGTCTATCTCCTCACACACAGTGACCTGTCTATCTCCTCACACACAGTGACCTGTCTATCTCCTCACACGCAGTGACCTGTCTATCTCCTCACACGCAGTGACCTGTCCATCTCCTCACACGCAGTGACCTGTCCATCTCCTCACACGCAGTGACCTGTCCATCTCCTCACACGCAGTGACCTGTCCATCTCCTCACACACAGTGACCTGTCCATCTCCTCACACACAGTGACCTGTCCATCTCCTCACACACAGTGACCTGTCCATCTCCTCACACA